CCTCCATGAGTACATTCATACCCAGACAGGTATGTTCATACCCACATGAGTACGTTCATACCCAGACAGGTATGTTCATACCCACATGAGTACGTTCATACCCAGACAGGTATGTTCATACCCACATGAGTACGTTCATACCCAGACAGGTATGTTCATACCCACATGAGTACGTTCATACCCAGACAGATATGTTCATACCCACATGAGTACGTTCATACCCAAGTGTACAATATTGCTTACAGAACACGCGTTCTTCTTTTTTTCATTTCATTCGTACCGGTACGTTCCGTTTGTACGATACGTACGATAGGGCTGACGGACAAAATAATGACGCCCACAACGACCTCGTGTGTATCATACCGTACTATGTATCGTATCCACAATACATGCTGTCTGTTATGTCTAATAATCGTCGAGTAATTAGTCGCGCGCGGGTAATCATCTGGTAATCAGGACGGTAATCAGGACAGTAATCAGGCCGTCTGGAAGAAAGGTAATCTAAAATAATTTAAAATGCGCGCATGGGTTCTTCTCCTAGGGTGAGGGCTCGTACCTCGCTCTCACCCTAGGAGAAGAACCCATGCGCGCATTTTAAATTATTTTAGATTACCTTTCTTCCAGACGGCCTGATTACTGTCCTGATTACCGTCCTGATTACCAGATGATTACCGAGTAATCAACAAGAGGCCGAATCCCCGAGGTACGAGGAGGATGAGACCGATGTTGATTACTCTAGTAACTCACTGAAGTTGTGTCTGAATGATCCGAGGTACGAGGAAGAATGAAGACACAACTGAAGATGAGTTACTTTAAGCGCTCAGACTAATTGACTCGACGATTATTGACGTAATAGACTGGTTACTCAGTTTTTGCCGAGTAACCGGCGCGCCGCCGGCAAATGAACTACAAGCACTGCCTCCTCCGATGCATCCGGATCGAGCAAATGAACTACAAGCACTGCCTCCTCCGATTTAGGGGATTGGGCTCTTTTCCCTCCCCGGTCCCTCCCTGGATCCAGCAAATGAACTACAAGGAGCACTGCCTCCGCGATGTAGGGGATTGGGCTCTTTTCCCTCCCCGGTCCCCCTCTCCGGATCGAGCAAATGAACTACAAGCACTGCCTCCTCCGATATAGGGGATTGCGCTCTTTTCCCTCCCCGGTCCCTCTCTGGAGCCTGCAAATGAACTACAAGCACTGCCTCCTTCGATTTAGGGGATTGGGCTCTTTTCCCTCCCTGGTCCCTCTGGATGCTGCTTTTCTTTTGCTTCCGACTAATTTTTGTCCTGATTTCATGATTCTGGTACAAAATCGCTGTAGGATTCTACGATAAAATTGCGAATCAAGGCACTATACTGCTGAAAATTGCTAAAATCTGAATTTTTTTTTCTAGTACACTATTCTACTACAAATGTACGTAGGGCTCCACGATACAGTCGAGCAACAACCAAAACAAGCACTGACTCCGCAATACTAGGGGAATGGGCTCTTATCCCTCCCTGGATCTTCCAAACACCGGGGATTACATGATTAAGCATGCGGTTCCAGTAGAACTACTAGTGCAAATGATCGCTTCACGAATCTTGCTGATACTCAGCTCAAGGCGCATGTCAACCTGCTCAATCTTGTGCGTTAGCTCTCTTCCTACTGCTCTCAATTCGGCACAAATTTCCTTGCTGCTGTCATTCCTTGGTGCTGATTCTAACTTTCGATTGCTCTCAAGCAGATCTTCATTCACTTTGTCAAGCTCGTCTTCAAGCTCAGCAACTTTGTCAGCTTGGACATCCTTCATGCGCTCAATTTGTTTTTCCTGTTGCTGAATGGTGGCCTCAAGGTCATGAACAATCTTGGTGAGCTCATCGTTATCGTCTTTGATTTCCTGGAGCTCTTTTCTGTGCTTCTTTGCATCCTCGGTTGCTTGTTCTTTGAAACTACTCTTCCTCTTCTTTGCTTTCTTCTTTAGCTCGGCAATTTCTTTTCTTAGAGCAAGCTTCCTTGGTGACAACAAAGAAGACACTCCTCCTGTCTCAGGGACGCTGGTGCTTGTTTGATCACCAGCAATTGCTGCGGAGGATGGCTGTGGTGCAGTGTTCTCCTTGTTGTTATTACTAGTACTAGTATGCGAACCGTGAGGAGCACCACTACCACCACCAGTAGTACTACTACTGCCTGGCAAACGACGATTCACCACACCATCGCGAAGAGCTGTCTGAAGCTGATTTTGAATCATCGAGTTATCGTGAATATACGGCTCAGCTGACTTTGCATTCTTATGGCGCACATGGTTCATCCTCATCTTCTCAGTTACATTCTCATTAGATGCAAGAGCTGTAATACAGCGATGGCGATTATCATGGGGAGTGAACTTCTCCCAGTCAGTGAAGCCTGCTATCTTTGCAAACTCTTTGATCCACTCGCGAATAGGATCACCTCCAATCTGGGAGTTCGGTCTATAGTGATACGGATTGCCTTTCCTCCTTTTGTGGTTCACATAGCAGAAGAACCGCTTCTGCGATGGGTTGCAAAGCTTCCTGTAATGGAAGATCAGTTTCACAACACAGTACTCATCCTCCTTTTGCTCCACGACCCTTGGCTTTTGTTCGTTTACAGTTGGATGAAGGACAGATATTTTGTTTGCTTTATCATCCCCTCCACACGGGGAAATAGTTATGTGTCGTAGTCCCTTGTTTACTCCACAGTCATACGTACCAAGGCTTACATCACTCCACTTGAGGAACACAAGCTCAGTCTTTCCACGTAGACCGAACTGCCGACCAAGCTCCATTGCAATCACTTTCATTAGGTCAAGGTCATCTTCATATGGCCTGTAAGTTCCATCATAGAGCTTCGAGCGATATTTGTCGTCTCCATGCTCATCGAACTTGGCTTTATTCCTCTTGGTTCCAAGTGTTGGATCCGCTTCCCTCTTTTCATTCCAATCTGCTTTGCATACGCCCAAGAAGCCTCCCTTCCCATTGAAGTCGCTGCTCTTGTATTTAATCCCTCTCGCTGCAAATGCAGTGAATACATACTTGATATACGTGGCATGTGTCGATGTATCAAGTGGCTCGTTAGTGTTCTTCTTCCCACCTCTAACTCTCATTTTCTTGATGTTGAGAGTCCAAATACAAAGAGCTTGATTTGCAATCTGCTTTTTGAAGGGCTCTGGTTCCCCTCCAACAACAGCATAGAACTCAAGGTCTCTTCTCAATCCATCCGGTAGATCAACCTCATTCGTGAAGTATCTGTGAAGCTGTACATCACCAGGATGATTACCGCGTGGTGCGGTTGCGTCTCTTACGATCTCCTCAAAACGTCGATGAACAGAGGCAACTCTTTTTGAATAGTCAGCAGTTGTTGATGTTGCTTCCATTACAGTGTGTGCTTGCTTTGAACCAAAAGTATTCGCATGGTTTGGATTATTGAAGATCTTCTTCGCATACGCCCTTGCTGCTTCTTGCTTCCTTCTTTCGGAGTCTTCTTCTTGCCGTCGTAGATACGGATTGACGATTGATCTGGTGTCAGTATTAGCATCCTCTTCGTGCTGTGGTGCTGCGGCTGCTGTTTGTGGGGGGGGAGGAGGAACATCCCCAGGCTCAATCGATACTCTTGGTGCTGCTGGCCCTTCTTCATCAGGGGCAAGCAGAATTGATGATTCGTCCTTGGATCGAAGGCTATCTTCGATGTAGCTCCGACGAGCAAAGGATATCATTGTGTTTGCCCCATCCTGAGTCAACACTCCCCTATTAGTGAGGCTGCTGGCGTCATTATCGATGACGCTAGCCCCATCATGATTACTGGTGCTCCTGGTGCTCCTGGTGCTTCTCTGAGACAGTCCTCGTCCTACTAACTCAGGGGGTGGCTCGTCGAATATTGCATTTGAGTCAAAAGGACTGTTTCGATCTCTTCGGTGTGTCATGATTACTGATTACTGCACTGGTGATTACTGATTACTGTACTGATTACTGTACTGATTACTGTACTGATTACTGATTACTGTTCTTGCTTGTTCTTCCACGCTGTATCGTCTGTTAATTACTGCTTTTTGCGTACTAACAATTAGCGCACTGAAAATATCAATTGAAAATAGCAATTGATTTGATTACTGCTTCTCTGTCGATGCGAGCAAACTTGATGCCGACAGCTGCCAGTAGGATTTGTACAGCTGCTTCCYTGATTACCAATTTGATTACTAATTTTGTCGAGTAATCAGTCATCCGGTCGAGCTGCAATTAATATTGAAGAAAAATAACACACAGTTGTTAGCAACTGATTACTCGATTTTTTTGGTAACGCGCAGTAATCTAGCGCGCGGTTACTCGGCAAAAACTGAGTAACCAGTCTGTTACCGGTTTTAGCTTACAAGTGGACGGTCGGACGGTGGACCGTAAGTCTGGTACGAACTCGAACGAGTGAAGACTGCACGTTTCGGAACNTCTACAACATTCCCAAACGAGTCGTTGGCGCATCCAAGAGAGTTTTCGCTCAACGCTTTGTCTTGAGAACTGTTATGCTAGTCGCAACAAGGAATGCCGGAACGAGTACGAGTACGAGTGTATGTTTTTTTACTCGAATGTGAACTCTTTCGGCGGGGTAGATTGATCCATCGATCGATCGATCGATTCGAAAGAAAACGAAGTGATAGCGCAAGAGTTCTCCATCACGGCCGTTTTGAATGTGGCAACTCGAGCGAGGCGAAATCACGAGAACTCGGGGAGCACCAATTCAGTACGGTGGGTCATTCACAAGTGATACAGTACGGTACCGTACTACTGCTTCGAGGACGTACGTACCATACGACTCATACAGGACGGTACTGGACGTTGATCGTGCTGTTGTACAATTACGTTCATACCCAGACAGGTATGTTCATACCCCCATGAGTACGTTCATACCTACACAGGTATGTTCATACCCACATGAGTACGTTCATACCCATACAGGTATGTTCATACCCACATGAGTACGTTCATACCCAGATAGATATGTTCATACCCACATGAGTACGTTCATACCCAGACAGGTATGTTCATACCCACATGAGTACGTTCATACCTACACAGGTATGTTCATACCCACATGAGTACGTTCATACCCAAGTGTACAATATTGCTTACAGAACACGCGTTCTTCTTTTTTTCATTTCATTCGTACCGGTACGTTCCGTTAGTACGATACGTACGATAGGGCTGACGGACAAAATAATGACGCCCACAACGACCTCGTATGTATCATACCGTACTATGTATCGTATCCACAATACATGCTGTCTGTTACCGGTTTTAGCTTACAAGTGGACGGTCGGACGGTGGACCGTAAGTCTGGTACGAACTCGAACGAGTGAAGACTGCACGTTTCGGAACGACAATGCGCATGCGGTGCGTGCGATACAGCAATTTACGTACGGTAGCATACCATACGTTATGTGCCGTAAGCAACAATACCGTTGCGATTGATGCTTTTTGATGGCACGAAACCTCCGATGGTTTGTTGTTAGTTGCTGGACTGTCGATCAACAGACTAGTACAATCAACAATCAAACCAAACTAGCGACACGSAGCACTTTTTGCATCTGATTTCTTCGTTCGTGCTACCTACAACAGCAGAGAGAGAAGAGTCGGGGGAAGGAACACAACACAACGCAACACTCCAACGAATTGATTCCGATCGACTATCACGAGTAGCGGCGGTCGAAGAAAAAAACTAAAAGGATTCGATTTTTGATTGGAGTCGATTTGGTTCGATTTCGATTTTGATTTCGAATTCGATTCGAACTCTTTGTTGCACARATTGCACAGACACCCGCAATCCAACCGAAACCCGTCTCGGTTTTGGTCTGTCGTTAAAGCCGCCTGACTCTACGACCCACCCATTGACTACGATGAGGTCCGACGGCAACAGCCGCTGCTCCCCTTCCACAAAGCCTYCGGGCCTCCTCCGGTGGGYGGTCCTCGCCTTCGCGGCGGCCTCCGCCGGCGCCTTTGCCCCCGCTCCAAGGGCGCGGTCTCCTGCKTTGTCGTCCCCGGCTTCCTCGGACACGGCGCTCCACCTGCGGGTGGCCTACCAGGGCGAGCCGGGGGCCTACTCGGAAAAGTCCACCCGGGAGCTCCTGGGGGACAACGTCGTGGCCATCGGAAAGCCGAACTTCGAGGCCTGCTTCCGGGCGGTCGCCTCCATGGAGGTCGACTACTGCTGCCTCCCCATCGAAAACTCCCTGGGGGGGTCCATCCACGAGAACTACGACCTCATGCTCCGGTACGACCTCACCATCTGCGCCGAGCACGAGTTCCGCGTCCAGCACTGCGTCCTGGCCAAGGAGGGGGTCCGMCTCCCCGAGGGCAAGCACGACCAWGGCGGCGACCAGGGCGGGSCGGTGGCCAGGTACGCCATCAGCCACCCCCAGGCCCTGGCGCAGTGCGACAACTACCTCCGGAGCCTGGGCATCACCCCCATTCCCACCTACGACACGGCCGGGAGCGCCAAGATGATCCGGGACAACGACCTGCCGGACCGGTGCACCCCGGACAACACCATCGCCATCGCCTCCGACCTGGCCGGGGCCACCTACGGGATGAACTGCCTCGCCAAGAGCGTCGAGGACGACGACTCCAACTTTACCCGCTTTCTCCTCCTGGGCCGCAAGGGCGTCCTGGAGCACCTGGGCAAGGACGTCCCGTCCAAGACCTCGGTCGTCTTTACCCTTCCCAACACGGCCGGGGCCCTGTACAAGGCCCTGGCCTGCTTCTCGCTCCGGGACATTGACTTTTCCAAGATCGAGTCCCGGCCGACCTCCGCGGCCCTCCTCAACTACCTCAAGTTCCGAAAGAGCCAGCAGACCTCCTACGGCGGCGAACACGACGACTCCGACCTCCCCCGCTTCCGGTACTGCTTCTACCTSGATTTCCTGGACGGACAGCTCTCGAGCAACAGCGAGAACGCCCTGGCCAACCTGCGGGAGTTCACCGACTTTGTCCGGATCCTCGGGTCCTACCCCCGCCAGTCGCGGCTGGTCGGGCCCGTCTCGGTCGCCGCCGAGGAAATCAAGATCCAGCGGCTGGCGGACGAGACGGAGGCCCCCCTCTTGCTCCCGGCCGGGAGCGAACCACCCCTCGGCCAAAGCGGAAGCACCCAAGACTCCCTGAGCATCGGCCTGGTGGGATTCGGATCCTTCGGCCAGGTGCTGGCGGCGCGGATGATCGAGGACCACCACACGGTCTCCTGCCTGGACACCAACGACAAGGTACGACGACAACAGGCGAGATCAGATGAGATGAGATGAGATGAGATGAGATGAGATGGATGATCCTGCTGCTGCTGCTGCCCGTTTTTTTTTCCTGGCGACAGCAAACGGAGTTTGTCCGTCACCGTGGTGTGCATCGCATTCGTTTGGAAAGCACGTCGAAAACCACCACTAACGCATTGCGCAATTTTTGTCTCTTTTGTCTATTTTTCACGCTCTGCCACCCTTTGTCGCTCGCAATTGCATTGCATCGATGCACGAAACAATTGCGTACGAAACGAAACGAACCAAAACAAAACAAATGCGTACAAAACCAAAATCAAAACAATGCACAGTCGGCGGAGGCCGMAAAACTCGGGGTGAGCTTCCACTACGACGCCAGCAGCTTCTTCCGGGGCCTGGACGTCGTGGTCCTCTCGGTCCCCCTCATACGGCTGCAGGAGGCGGTGGACTCGCTTCCGATCCACGAGCTCAAGGGAAAGCTGGTGGTGGACGTCGGYCCGCTCAACGACGCGCCAAAGTCCATCCTCCTGGACGCCTTTGCCAGCTACCCCGACATCGACGTCCTGCTGACGAATCCGATCCTCGGGATGCTTCCGCGGGAGGAAGACCAGCCCTCCAGCGGGAAAAGGCCGTCTTCCGAGGCCGGGGTGACGGTCATGACGCCGAAGCACCACAACAACCCGCTGATGGGGGGGCCCACCGGGAGCATCTGGGAGGGCCGGCAGATGGTCGTCGAGCGGGCCCGGGTGGCCAACGTCCCCCGCTGCGACCGGTACCTCTCGATCTTCGAGCGGGCACGCTGCGAGGTGGTGGAGGAAACCTCCARKGAGCACGACTCGGCCATCGGAGACGCCCAGTTCGTGACGCACCTGATCGGSCGGCTGCTCTCCAGGGACCACCTCCTCACGCCGACGCCGATCATGTCGGAGGAGTACAAGGACCTTTCCAAGATCGCCGAGATGGCGGCCGCCGGGTCCTTCGATCGGTTCTACGGGATGTACAAGTACAACCACAAGACCGCCACCAACCACATCCGCAAGCTCCGGGAGAACCTGGCGGCCCTGGAGTGCGAGCTGGCGGCACGGGGGGCCTACCTGGACGCCAAGGAGGAGCTGGCCAGGGGCGACCGGCAAAAACTCCTGTCGGARACGAGGCTCCTGCTGCAGGAACTCGCCAAGACCGAGGCCTTTGACGAAAGCCCGGCCGCAAGCACGGCAAGCAGCGAAAGTGAAAGCGACGTGTACGAAGCGATTACCGACGGGTACGAAGCGATTACCGACGAGATCGACGACGAGGGGGAACCCTTGTTCGTTCTGAAGTAGAGCAATGGAAACCGATCGCACAAGGATGTGTGCACCGCATTCGAAAGGAGCACTCGTACGGTACGTGTTCCGGGACGAAATCCACCAAAAGAACCCGGTGGACGTGCCCCGATCGCCCACCGGGTTGGGCCGGGGTCGGGAGATCTCGAATGGAAAGCCTAATAATTAATACTACTATATATAGAAACAGTGCGTTTGGAAAAAAAAATCCACCGACCGGCATGAGCATCAAACCTTTTTCTATGGATCGTATTTCGTCTTCGGTCGTGGAAACCCGTTGCTCGTGTTGCAAAACATGCCGATTCGAGCGAATCTCTTCAATGCTGTATCGATAGCATGGAATGGAAACGATTTCGAGTTCAAACGCAAACCAGAGATGAGAAAAAAAAATCAAAAGTTGGTTGTTCTTGTCCGTTTCTTCGTGAGTATCGTTTGAACGACAGAATCTTCCAGTGGTATCGTATGTAATGATGATGTATTCGATTTTTCGGTTGACCGAAAGAAATTTCTTTCGAATTGAATCCAGTAACTCGTACGTGCTGTACGTACGGTATGTACCGGTACGGGAACTGGTACGTTACGATTGTCTGTAAGTAGTACGTACGATACTGTACCGTAGAACTGCGGACAACCATTTGCTCAGTTTTCGTGCACAATTTTCATACCGTACAAACGTGCACATAATAGGTATGTACGGTATGTTAGGTACGGTATTCATTCTTCTCCAAGAACTTCGTAATGACCCTGACAGCATGACAGCATACAGATGCTTTGCTGTGTTTGTTTCTTTCTTTCTCGTCTCTCCTTGACGATTGGGAATTCGGGAATTCAAGATACAGGCCAAGCGAAGTACAGTATTTTGTTCCAACTGTGATCGGAACTCCAGATTCTACGGAAGCACAAACAAAAGAAGTCGGCGATCACTACAGTACCGTTCTATCTTTTCGTAGTCCCGATTCGCTTCTGCTGTACCGGAGGGAACAGAAAGACGATGGCGAATCGCACAACGGCGAAGGCCTCGGTGCATCATTGCAAGCGCAGGCTTTTGCGCCTTGCGATGGTGCTGCCGCTGCTCTGCTGCTTCGGGTCGAGAGCCGTTCGTTCCTGGACCGCAACCCGCCGGAGTCCTGGGCGGAGGCCCTTCGCGACTCCCCTCCCCTTCCAGAGCGGGGGTGGCGCTCTGTGTGCTTTTTCCCCGCCTTGCGCAAGGGAGACCCCCGTCCACCGGCTCCCGGAGGTCCGCCGCGTCTTTTGCATCTCGGATCTGCACGTGGACCACCCTTCCAACATGGAGTGGCTGCAGGCCTGGAGCAAGGGCAGAGCAAGGAGCGATGGCAACAACAACGACGAAAGGACCGACGACGAAAAAGCGGCAGCAGCTGCCGGGCCCCGCACCACGGACCTCCTGGTGGTTGCGGGGGACATTTCCCACGATCCGGGAAAGATCGAGGAGGCCCTCCTCCTCCTGCGAAACCACACGGAGCACGTGGTCTTTGTTCCGGGAAACCACGAAGCCTGGCTCTCGTCCTCGGACGAGCTGAAGGCCTACGACGAGCACCAAACGGAAGGGGCCGAAAAAGATGCCGGGAACCCTTGTTGCGGGGAAACGCAGACGCAGCCAAAGCCGGCGCGGTATTCGTCCATCGAAAAGCTGGAGGACATCGAGCGGCTGTGCCGGAGGCTGGGGGTCTTCACCACCGGGGATTGCGTCTGCGTCGGGGGTGGTGCTTTGGAAAGCGAGGACGGCAAGCTGCTCCCGGCGGAGGAATTGTGGATCCTTCCGATGGACGGGTGGTACGACGGGTCCCTCTCCTTTGTCGATCCAAACCCCTCCAGCGGCAGCAACGGCAACGGCACAAGCAGCAGCAACCACCACTACGACCTGGTGAGCGATTTCGGAAGGTGGCCGTGGGTGGACTTTCTGCGGTGCCGGTGGCCGGGGCTCGAATCGGTTGGCGAAAACGACGAAAACGAACCGCCGCCCCCCCCGCTGCTGCGAAAGATCCCGCGCGGGCTCGTCGGGCACTTTGTCAAGCGCAACCAGGGAACCATCGATGCCTTTAAGAGGGCCACAACGGAAAGGGAGAGCTTCAAGCGGGGAAGCAAACCACCACCGACAAAAAGTGCCTTTGCTTCGGTCCTGACGGTCTCCCATTTCTTGCCGAACCGCTTGTGCCTCCCGGACTGGAAGGACCTGTCCTCGGCCGACTTTGACTTTGACTCGTGGCTGGACCACGGGGCCGGGGGCCTCTCGGCAAAGTTTGCCCTGGTGGCCGGTTCCGACAAGCTGGACCAGCAGATCCGATCGATTCCCCTTCCGCAGTACAACGACGACGAAAATAGCGAAGACGACAGCGATGCAAACGATCCCTCGTCAAGCCCGCGGCGGATCCACGTCTTTGGGCACTCCCACCGGCCGAAGGACTTTGTCTACGGGGGCATCCGGTACGTCCACAACCCGCTGGGGAAACCCCGCGAGCGGGAACTGCACATGGTCGATCCGGAGGCGGCACCGAAACTCGTCTGGGAGGCAATTCCAAGCGAAGGCGAAGGCGAAGGCGAAGGCTCCGGCTTTTCCTCCAAGCGGGCACCGCAGGGGTGCCACACCGCTTCGAGCACCACCACCATCATACGGTACTGGGAGGAGAAGGGAGGGGGGCTGGAGATGCTCCGGAAACGAATGGAAGGCTCGAAGCGCCGGCGGAGAAAAGGACCAAAAAACTAAACAGGGACGGGACGGGACGGGACGGGATGCTTTCCTAGAGTCTGGCGGTGGATCTGCCCCGCGATGGTTGGATGGCAGGGAATCGCCGTATCTGCGTTGGGTTGCGTTGGGTTGGGTTGCGGTTCGTCGCCAGCCACGGGGAACGATCCTCGGCCTGTTTCCCGTTCTTCGTTTTGGTGCAAAGTTGCTCGACCCGTTTTCGTGCTCTGTGCCTCGGTGTTGCAAATCGGGCTGCGGATCCTTGTGGGCCTTCCGGCACCTTTCCTCCAAAACCACCGTGGCTCTTGGGGTTGGCATCCGGGAGGTCTCGTGCCAATGGTTGCACAGCCCTGGGCAGCAAAGACGGAGGATTCGCTGCATCTCTGCACCGGAAGGGTCATTCGGATAACGGAGGGACTGGTGCCAAAACCAGGTTCTCAGACTGCTCCAGCCTTTTGTTTGCTTCTAGTGTGTACTGCGTGGCACCGAGAATGACCATGTACCTTCGGCCAATGGGTAATACTTTGCTCGGATGGTTGCTACTGTTAGATCTATCTTCAAACTAGACGAAATTTCCACAGAAGACGACTTATAATCTTTGACTCAATAAGGCACTGCCAACAGCATGATACAGCATGATAGAGTGTTTGTTGGTTGAGAACATAGAGAAGGAAGTGCAATTTACTGTATACAGGGTAGAACTCTGTTCTTATTATTGTTTCAAGAGACGTTGCAGGGTATAGCAAGCTATACCAGTGTGGAAGAGATATTTTTCAGAGAGACAAGGAAATAGAGCTCTCAAACCAAAGTAGATTTGATCTGAATCAATCTTCATTTATGCCAGCTCAATTTGATTACTGAAGTAGATCAAGTACTGCAACTAGATTGTCAAAGAGCAGTAGGTCAATTAGTAGCTAGCACTAGTGCTAGTATATTAAGTAAATTTCCTTCTGGAACAGTTTATTCCAACATCACATGATTGTCAGTAAATGACTGACCATTACTAGTCATACTAATGCAGAGGTTCCCAGCATTAATTTAGTAATGATCCCGTCATGATATATTCAGTAAAATTTGTACAGGGCTCTAGAAGAGAGTGTTGCTCCCTGTTTACATATGACTCACCTGTTGAAAAAGAAGCAGAATATTGGGTCTGTAGCAAGAACATCTGGTGGATTAGTGTACAAATCAATTGTTTACATAGTATTTGTAGTAGTAGTGATTCATCCAAGAATGTTCTAGATTTAGGAGAAGTGACAGAGTTGAATAGCACCAAAGTAGATTATTCTTGATCGTGTGAGGTAAATCGCAACAGTTGATTTTTGCCAACCAAAGTGAATTGAGCTTCCAAATTCTTCTTCATACTAGGCACCACTTTTTACTTCCCCATGAATCACACCAGTGAACATTTTGGCTTGTTTCCTGGACTGCTGGCAAAAGTAAAGTATGAATTGCACCTAGTACTACAATAAATGATTAATGATTAAATATTGGTTTTCACCAATTTCTACTATACATTCATTTCAAGTTGTTTCAATATTAGTATTTTGCTTTCTTGTCAAGCTACTAGCTAGTACTACTAGTATACACTATGATTTTACTATATCAAATTGATTGAAAAACAAAGTAACACCTGAATGATATTTTGTCATTCTGCAGAGGTGCAAATGCAAGCCAATAAAAAATAATGGTCACTGGAAGGTCAATTATGAATCCAGTCATCATTACATGACTCCTTCCAAAACATACTGTTAGTATAATGTGTAACAGGACAATTGAAGATTTTAAATTTAGATTAAAGAAGCTGAACAAAATGATCACTAATTAGTGGTCACAACACTCAAGAATTCAATTTGACTGGGGGAAGTTCAAATTTGCTTTCCCCGTCAACTCCAGTTGCACAATGTATAATGAAACTTCTAGATATTCATAAATACCATCACTCATATGGTGGTGCAATTTTGAATGAGTTTTTAATTGATTGTGCAAACACAGGACTTGTGCATCCTGGCCTCTGCTGTGCAAGTCATTATAAAAACGATTTCAGATCTTCTGGATCAGGAAGAACTGATGCATCAAAATCTGCATTTGGACCATTGGATGCATGGTGGGCTTGCTGGTGTGTTCAAGAACAAGGACAAAAACATTGAATGATGCACATTTCCTATTGTGGGTTACAAATTGGGATATTATTTGGGATGGGATGAGTGACCCATTGAGAGGGAAAAGATTTTCAAACATTATTAAGCAATATGCAAAATATATCATGTCAACAAAAATGCATGCAATTAATGACTCCTCTACCTCTACAAACAAATGTACAAACTGCCAATCAACCATGCTGATACAGCATGCAGCAATCCCTAACAGTACATGAAAATCAAAAGTAATTCATTCTGTGCAACATTATTGTAAAGATGCTTTGTGCAGAATAGGGAATGGACTTTCCCAACAGAATGCGTCCTGTCACAGGCATGACTGGAACAGCAGCAGCTAACATCAAGCACCAGGAAACAACACATCAAGCTTGCTGTCTAAATTATGGTGATAGATCTACTACCATTATACCGGATGATGCATGGGAAATGAGACATATCTTTTCACCATTGTTGATCAGATATCACTTGCTAGCATCAAACAGTTGGAAACATTGAACAAGTATCTTATCTTGTTCTTATGTAATACTACTAAGCCATTATACTATAACTTATATGGTAATCTAAATGTTGTCTTTCCAGGTGACTACAATCAAGTCAACCAGTGGCAGGAGACTCACTCTTGATGAAAAAGGACTTCTATCTCTGGAGAGAAAAAACCAACACATTTCTTCTTGAACTGAAAACAAACCACAATTTAAAATATGGTGTAGTCTGGGGGACACTTCTTGATGATTTAAGAACAAGAAAAGGCTTGAAAGAAGAGCATGATGTTCAAATGATCAATTCAAGAACAATTGTAAAACCTTGGGACAAACTTCCAGAAGAAATTGCTTATGCAACATACAGCAACACAGACATATGTGCAATAAATGATGGCAAATTTTCCAAGTTTCACTCATAAATTACAGGTAGCTAGATCACACAATTGTAGTCAAACAGGCATCAAACCTAAAACTACAGATAGACAGAAAAGAAAATACAGAGACATTCAGAAATATTGCTTACTGACTGCTGTGACAGATGCTGATATTGTTGCATGCAGATGGAACAAAATCTTCCAAAAGGATTACAGATTTCATGAGATCTAAAGCAAATGGAGCAGCCAGCATGTGTACATTCAAGTCAGCAAAACTAAAAATTGGGTACCAGGATAGTGAAAAGCATCAACATTGATGGATATTTTGTTCTTTGATGTGTGGGTGCTGACAAGGTTGAATAGATAGAGAAGAAGCTCAAAAAGAAAGGGAGGGATCAAGCTCAATTCACAAAGCTCTACAGCACAGCAGGGAAAATTTCAATGCTGTCCTCAAGAACATGACGAGTCTAAAATTTCACATCAAAGCTGAAAAAGTCACAAGGGATTATATAGTATCCATACTAATTGAATTCCCAGCAATGAAAATTGCAAATGCAAGAACTGTTCACAAATTACAGTCAGGAGGGAAGATATTTGGAAAATGCGTTGATTTCAACTTGGTCTGCTTACACAACGTGATATAGAAATTGCTGTATTTATGTTGTGCTTTTAAGAAGAGTGAGGAGGAGTTTTTAGAACTTGTTCCAGTGGTGGTCTGTTTGTGAGAGCACCTCGTTGTCTCTTTCTTCTTACTGTTGTCTCTTCTTCTCTTATCAAAGCCAGCAACAACAATATCGAACATAGAAAACAAATCAATGAATTCCGTTCGTAGTTTAGAAACAACAAATAGCCACAGGGATTGTGTTCATTCGCTTCTAAATTCTTTTTCATTTTCCCACCTTTGCACTCAGTTTTTTGCACCATACTACGAGTTTCATAACAATTGCACACAGTCTTGCCCAGAGAGCAAAAAGTAATAATTTGAAGTTCTAAACTTCAATTTGAAGTTATGAACTTTTGCTCGTACATCATGTACCAGGTTCTACTGAGCTAATTTTTTAAAATGACTGAATGGATGAATCACGATTCCCCTCAAAACAAAAAAATGGTCATGAGGTGATTCAATCATGAATGCCATCCAAAAACTAGCTCAGTAGAACCTAGTAGACTTTCTACGTGAAGTTCTTAACTTCAAATCGAAGTTTAGAACTTCAAATTAAAACTTTTTGCTCTCTGGGCAAGACGATGTGCAATTGTTACGAAACTCGTAGTAGTAAGTACTGTACTCTTACTTGCGTTAGCCAGCCAATTGAATTGTATGGTAGTGCTTTAGTACCGTAGGTAGGTACATACCTTAAAAATGATGGATGCAGTGTCAAGCATCAAGAACCCAAGCCTGTCGAGCAAGCCACAAGTCAAAGACCCGGTAGGAAAATAAAGAAAAAAATTACGTAAAACAATGAAGGACGGGTATCAAACGTCTCCGTTGCGTCACGTACTAACGTCACGTTTTGGTCGAGCGTTAATGCTCTGTTTGTATTTAAAAAAAAATTAAAAATACTTCTTCTCACATAATATTTCTCGTATTTCGCGTTCGACGAAACGAGAATCGTTTGAGACGAACACCACATGCTATCAGAAGAAGCCGCCACCGGGAGAAATCATAGCACCGAAGGAATAACCACTCAACCACCCGAAACCATGCCCCGGGATCTCCAAGAGCCTAGGCGCCAGGAACCACAGCCACAGCACGGGTATCAACAGGACTGCCCAAAAAAGGATCTTCACAACAACCAGCAGCACCAACGAAACCACATAGAAGACCAACCGCCATCGCGCAAGCGCCCTCATCACCACATGGATCCCCAATTGGGGTTGGGGTTCGAGGAGAAACATCGGCACCAGCACCAGCATCAGCACCAGCACCAGCATCAGCACCAGCACCAGCACCAGCACCAGCACAAACAACAACATCATCGCCACCACTATCATCATCAACAACAGCACCAGCAGCATCAGGGTCAGCAGCAGGAATCCCAACCCCAACCACTTTACAACCAGCCCAATCATCAGCATCAGCATCAGCATCGGCATCAGCATCGGCATCAACAGCAGGAATCCCAACCCCAATCACTTTACAACCAGCTCAATCATCAGCATCCGCATCCGCGCCCTCACCCGTACCTGCATATACAATCACCAGCCCAGGAACAGAATCAACCTTTTTTGCACTTCCAACAACAACAACAACAACAATTCTATGAACAGCAGAAATTCCAGAAATGCCAGCAATACCAGCATAAACATCATCATCATCAACAACAACAACAACAGCGTTTCCAGCTCCATATCCCCTCTGGCACAGCAAACACCGCAAAACCCCAACCCCAACCCCAGCAACAATTTGTGCACTCCCAACAACAACAACAAGAATTCTATGAACAGCAGAAATCCCAGCAATCCCAGCATAAAGATCAACATCATCATCAACAACAACAACAACAACAACAACAACAGCGCTTCCAGCTCCATATCCCCTCTGGCAAAGCAAACACCGCAAGCGCTGTATCTCTGGCACACCGAGCAGCGGCCATTGCCCTAGCACAGCGAGCCGCTCCGTCGATGCATCGCGGTGCGATCGCCGGTGTGTCCGGTGCAAATCCCGCTGCAAACCCCGGGACCGCCGCGGACCACGCAAAGGCACCGCCCCCAAAGGCGGCACCAGCGGCGACACAAGCGGTGCCAAAGCAGACGGAACCATCCACATCCGCATCCACCCCCTCGGGCAGTGCGCTGGTGTGGTCCGGCCCGCCACCGGAAGACCTCGGGCCGCTGCCCAGCAACATGTTTGCGCCGTGGAACAAGGACGACTGGACCAAGACGACGCGCAAGAGGCTGGGGGGGAAAAGTGCGGGGACCTTTGATTCCTACTGGCAGTACAAGGACGGCGGGCCCCGGTTCCGGTCCCTCAACGAGATCCGCCGGTTCCTGGTGGCCCTCCGCGCAAACAACGGGAACGCGACCCTGGCCCGCAAGCCCGAGCAGATGCGCAGGGCCCGGGAGCTGCTGGAGCAAACGGCACTCGCCGACGCGAATGCAAATGCAAATGCGAATACAAATGCAAATCCGAATGCGAATGTGAATGCGAATGCCAATCATCTCAACTCCAACCCCAGCACCGGGTGCGGAACGAACGCAACGCCCAAGGAAAACATTCACCAAAACTCGTTCGGAAGGGCCCGCCGGTTGCCCTCGCGGTTCTTGCATCTCCAGGCCTCGCTGGTGCTGGCCGCAGCGAAGGACAAGGAGAAAGTGGGCGAACCAGCGGCAACGACAACGGCAACCACCGCCACAACCACTGCCGGTGGAGGAGCAGCATTAGCAACAACTCTGGCCCCCACAACGGCTAAGGCGGTCCCGCGTAGCATTAGCGTTACACCCCCTAAAGACGATTGCCACTTCGATTCCGGTGGCAGATTGAGCGACTACATAGTTGTTCTGTAACGGAACGATGCAGCACGCAAAGCATCGGTGTATGCGGATCCTGTGTGTTTGGTGATCCGTTGGTATCCTTCTGTAAGGGATGTCTATTGCAGTACTGCCGCGCTATCGTGCGAGATGAATTGCTTTGGGGAATTTGGTTCGGGTCGTCTCTTTGCTCTGCTACCAGAGGTGTAACAATATGTTATATTCCTACGCACGGACCTGCCGTGCACGATTCTGGCTTCGAAACGGTCATCATCATGAAACAAACCGATCGCCAACAACAGACAAATGCCAATCGATACTACGCACACAGAGACTGTTGGCAGCATTGTACAGAAATGAACAACAAACGTTTCCAGACATAGGCAGCGACAACCCGAGCCAGCGGTTGAAGAGGTGTGTTGATTGATCGAACAATCGATCGATCCTGTGTGCCGCGAAAGATTCTGAAATGCACCAACTGAAATAAGTAAACCACAGCAATCATCAGTAAAGATCCAATTTTGTTATTTTTCTCAATCCGTAGTCCAAGTAGTTTGCAAATTGTCTGTACTAATATTCATTCAATAGCATTTCCCCTTCCTGTTGTACAAGCAGTGCAAAAAAAGTGTGTTTGTTTTCGACATCAAGATGCAAACGGACAACGAATCGACGATTTTCCGGAAGGTTATTCAGGGTTGAAAGCCATTTTGCTGGAATTCCGAGCGGACCACTCGTCTCGAATATCTCTATTCCGTACTGTCGATAGAATTGTCTCACGTTTCGTAGCAACGCCATCTTTGGAGTGTTGGGTATCTTGATCTCCCTCTACTGCTGGTGGATAATCATCCCATCACTGAAGGTGGTTGCCGAGAGGAGGGTATTCGCTGTCGCAGTGGTTGGGCGGTGGCCAGCTCTCGTCGGGCTTGGCCAGGACCCGAAACACCTTGGGTTGTTGCTTGTGCGGCTGCCTCCTCTTGCGCTTGCGACCCCCACCGGCCGCCTGCGGTTGCGTGCCACCGCGAGCCGCTTCCGTGCCCGGAAAGGGCCCCAGGAGCTCCCGGACCGCGCTCCCGGCCTGGTTCCGGTCGGTTTTCTCCGAGAGGAGGAGCGACGGACGGTCGCGCTTTTGCTGCTTGGCGGTCGCCCGGTCCTGCTGCTTGATGACCAGGAGCAGCTTGGAAAAGACGTCGACCCGGACCACGCAGGATCCGTAGTACGCCCCCGTGTTGGGATCGGTCACCCAGTGGAACTGGCGGACCGGGGTCTGGAGCCATTCCTCGATCCGGGACCTGGTGGCCGTGAGCGGGAGCCGGTTCAGAAAGAGCCGGTCCGTGGCGAGTTTCCGGGGGGGATGGTCGGCCTCGGGTCTTCGGCGCGAGCCTTTTGCATCCGCCGTAGTTGTGGTCGTCGCATCGGTGGACGACGACGAAAGAACGTCCCGCTCGACGAGTTTTTCCGCCCGCTTCCGCATGGCGACGAGGTCGGGGTTTCCCTGCGGTGCCCGGTATCTCTCCCGGCACAGCTCGCAGCGGAGGCGGGGTGGCGCAGCGCTGGCCTTTGACGACGACGACGAAAGCGAGGCGTGGCAGGCGTCGCAGACCAGCACCGGGACCCCGCACTCGACCCCCCCGCACTTGTGCTGGCCCCGGTAGGTCGTCCACGGGGCCCGGCAGAGGCAGCACTTGGCGCGGAGCTTGGTGGCGACCTCCTTTTCGACCGTGGAGGAATCCTTTCGCTCCGGGAGCTGCTCCATGCGCTTGTCGAAGAGGTAGTTTTTCCCGGACCAAAATCCACCCTGGGGGTAGGTCTTGAGGTATCGCTCGATTCCACCCCGCATGTGGTAGACCCCGTTCGGTTGGAAGGTCTCGGGTTTGTTGTTCTTGCCGCTCGGCATGGATTTGTTGGAGTCTTTGTTTTCGTTCCCAGTGGTTTCGTCCGACGCTGCTGCTGCTTCCGCCTTGGAAACCGTCGCCATCTGGTTGATCAGGGCCGTCGCCCGCTCGCACCGAATCCCTCCCGTGCAAAAGGTCAGGATCTTCTTGCCGTTGAGTTTCTTTTGGGTCTCCTCGCTGGCCAGCCATTTGGGCCATTCCCGAGAGTTTCGCAGCTTGGGGTCCAGCAGCGTCGCCCCGCCCTTCGGGGGGACGATGGTTCCGATGGCGGTCTCGTAGGCGTTCCGGACATCGATGACGACCGTGTTGGTGTCCTGCAGGGCCTTGTGGTAGTCGACGGCCGTCAGGTGCTCCCCGCCAAAGCGCTCTATCGACGGGGCCTTCCCGCCCTCCAGCCCGTAGGCGACGAGCTCGTCGGTCTTGCGGATGCTGAGGGACTTGAACATCTGGCTCCTGGGAAGGCCGTCGGTGATCTTGAAATCGGTCTGCTGGAAGAGCTCGCTGTCGGAAAATCTTTTTTGGTTGTTGTTGTTTTCGTTGTTGTTGTTGTTGTTGTTG